CTATTCTATTCTATTCTATTCTATTCTATTCTATTCTATTCTACTCTACTCTACTCTACTCTACTCTACTCTACTCTATTCTATTCTATTCTATTCTATTCTATTCTATTCATATTTCTATATTCTTTTCTGTTGTGGCCTGCCAGTAGCCAGTGGAGCTGGTGGCAGACTCGGACAGTGAAGAGGCTGGAGAGGAACCTGGGCCAGTCCTGGAGTTTGGGGAAGGCTCTGATGAGGGCTCTGCGTTGGAGGCAAAGATGGGGCCAGGCCCCTCCGACAGTTATCAGCTGCCTTTGGAATCGGAGGTCAGTTAGGCAGAAGAACAGCTGGGGACTGTGCCCAGTGTGCGCATGCACAGAGCTGCCTGAAGAAGGGAACAGCTAAGGAACAAGGGTCGACTTGGGAGTAAAGCCACAGGTGGACGGTGAATGGCCGCTTCGATAGGGAATAAAAGAGGAGCGAAAGAGGAGTGGGGCTTTGCAGGAGACAATTCGTTCAATTCATTAGGGTGAAGATCTGTTCCTGACTCCTTGCCAAGTCATTGCTGCTACAGTGTGGTGTTTGGGAGCTATCGGCCTGGCAACTCTCCCAGCTTGATCAGGGTCTGTGGTTGTGAAATCTCATGAAAGACAGTTTGCCGGGACTTTGCTGGAGAGGAATTCCTTTTAACCTAAAATAAAAAGGGGTTTTATCGGGACGAGGAGTCCGGCTTCGTGATCTTGGGAACAAGCCTAGGTCAGAGCACATGGAACCACAAAGCCCAGCATGCTGTGCGACTCCAACCCCCCCCCCTGTATTTTCCACTCGCGGGAAGCGATCGAGTGGCCGACTTACAATCAGGGCAACTCCCCAGTTGGAGTGCTGCAGGAGGGGGCAGGGGCTCAGCACAGCCATGGCCATGTTGTAGACCCCAAAGGCAGTTCCTGCAGCCGTCAGGATCCCCAGGAAGAGAAGAGACCTGGAGGGGCGGAAAGGAGAGAGGTGGTGGGTTTGCCGTTTTCGGACACGGACCCAGACTTCGCCCACAGCAAGAGAGCCATCCAGAGGAAGAACTGGTTAGACAGCACGGGGAAGATATAAGCTGGGTATACATGCTACGGTAAGCCAGGATTGAGTCAAGAAACGATTGGGCAGCTCGTGAGCCATGAAGAAGCCTGAGAAAGAAACTAGGATATTGATATTATGGGGTCCTGGGTGCTCTCTGAGCTGGGTGGGGTTATTTTTTTTTGCAGACGTTTCATCACCCAACTAGGGAACATCATCAGTGCTAGAAGGGAGTGGGGTTTGCAAAGAGTTGGAGGAGGGAGAGGAGGAGGAGAAGGAGAAGGAAGGAAGGATTTGGTATCTTGCAAGCCATTCAAAAGCTTGAGAAAGAAACTTGAATAGGTTGATATTATGAGGTCCTGGGGGTTCTCTTTGCTTGGTCATTTTGCAGACCTTTTATGAACCAACTAGATAACACCATCAAGAAGTGAGTGAGGTTTTCTCCCTGCTTAGATACTAGTGGTTTGCCCTGACAGTGCTAGGAGAAATGTTTTGCGTGGTTTGATAGTTCATTAGGTAAGGAAACTTCTGCAAGTAAACAACTAAGCTTTCCTCCTCCTCCTCCTCCTCCTCCTCCTCCTCCTCCTCCTCCTCCTCCTCCTCTCCACACACCTCGCTCCTTTCTAGCACCAATGACATTCCCTAGTTGGGTCATAAAATGTCTGCAAGAAAACCACCAAACTCGGAGACCACCAAGGACCCCACAGTCTGCCTTCT